CAATCGATCGTTGAAATTACCGTACGTTCGTATTTTAGAAAATTTAGATTGCAAATCTGGAGAAATTAATTAATGTTAAAAATTAATGAGCACGAGCATTGCAAAAATTCTGTTACGTATCCAACTTTTTTCACTATATATATGAGGAAAAGTATGTTTTCCTTCAAGTAAGATCTTCGTCGAAGAGAAGGAACGTGTTTACTATACGCGTATCGTAATTCTTTGTATTCTTTTATTTTTGAACTTCGAATCAGATGATAATATCAGTCCAAGAGTTTCGAGCTCGAACATACCTGTGGCAAAGGTTTCGCCTCGTCAGAAACGTGGACACAGTTGAACCTGATTATATTCAGTAACTGCGAACGTCATAACTGGATTCACGTTGATAAACACTGATAAAGACTGATATTTTTCGCGACGTCGATCATCGATGGTAACGGCACGCCCATGTGTTCTTCGGCAATCTTTTGATGAAGAAGAGGATAGATATGTCGATGCACCGTGTAAATGAGGTACCACATGGTACAGAAATTCTTCAGTCTTTTCCAGAATGGTAAATCCGACCCCACGTTGGACTCCATTTCCCACGTAGCTTCGTGCGACGCCATTACCATCTCCTTCCCCCCAAATTTCAATATCAATAGTTGTTAATCCTAACGGGCTCAGTCCTAGAATTACACAAAATATTATACTTCGTTTTACCAGTTCGTATATTTTATCATGCATACTGCACTATTACTATAATTATAATATCACATAAGCTGACATTAAAATTAAAAAAAAAAAGAGTCTTTTTGTATAGAGTGAAAAGTATAATTTTTGCACGCATCGATTGTCAGTTACAGTCAGCGATTTGGCGTTCCAGAAACTAACAGTGGCGAGCCAATGGAAATTTGATAACACAACTATAAATGCTAATAATTTATTTTTCTATGATTTGATTTGATTTGTGTGGCCTTAATTGAATTTCATACTGTTTGTCAGTAATAGCGTTCTAAACTCTGTTAGTAGATAATATTTGGACACTGTTTCCGAGATAGTAAATTTATTGATCTTGTTAAGTGTAATTCCGTTTTCGAGAATATTTCGTTATTCCTGCTTCCACTTACTTCTCAGTTTTCCTTTCGATCGTATGTCAAAAGATCTTCAACCTTTATCAAACGATATCATTGAGAATTACCTATGACAAGGGTGTTGAATTAACCAGATCGAACTTCTCTTTACTTTTGTTATCGTACAGTTCTTTCATTTCCTGATGATCGGACACTTCCTGATTCGAAAGCTTCAGTAACACATGCGCAAACTCGTTTCCTAAATATGATATGAGAGGCACGCGATTCAAACGCATTTGGACGAGTTTTTGAGGACGATTTCTCTATAATTCGTCGCGATCAGTATCAATTCGTGGCCACGTTCCACCAACTTTCTCCATAGCGGTCGAATTGGCTGTATGATGGTATGCGCGTTATTGTTAAAATTCTAGCACCATTCGACTGATTTTCCACGCCAAAAATGTGCAGAACGGAGAACACGATCTCGATGGTGTACCTCATGTTGTTCGCAACGGTGTGCGATTAGTATTGTGATCGTGTTGATATATCAGCAAGGTATTAATGCAAGTAGATAACGTTTTAACGACTGTGTCAGAAGTCGGTAGAATTGAATAAAATATTTTAATATTTTATGTAGACGAAAGCAATTGGAATAAGATAACCAATCATTAATTATATAACGTATACGTAGATTTTATTTGGATAGTTGTGAAACGGTGGAAGATCAACTACTAACTGTTAACTGATAGTTTCTAAAGATATTTTTGCGTGTCGCGTGTTAAATAAATGTTATTATTATATCACGTAGGTTTTCATCATTAAGACGATGATTTTAGAGTTATCAATAACGAATCAATTAGAATTAATTCCTCACTTTTGAATAAGTTCGAAGCACCGAATTACCTCACGTTTGCATTAAATTATCAAAATTGCAACTTGCGATTTAATTGATTGCAAGCAAATATCGTTGAGAGTTCTAGAAATTTTTTCGCATCACTTCTCAAGTAATCTTAATTCAAATTCTTAACTGGTATTATCTCTGAATAAGTAGTCCGAGGACGTGACGCGTTTTACTTGCTGTTTCTTCGAAATGTAGCAACTAAAAGCCAGCGGAAAGCAGAATTACAGGAGTTGCAAAACTAGGTTAATTACTTGTGGAATTGCTTCGCTTAATTCGATCACGTGTATATCGTGTAATAACATTTCGTTAAAGGGATTTTCGTAGTTACGTGTCGCTATCAATGGTAAAATCACGATGGAACTATTTGTTTGTTAGACGAAAAGCCGATTTCACTCCCTGATCTTTTTAACGACAACGTAACGTTATTATCTGTATTTTGCAGAGCATTAAACTGAGAACGTTACAGAATTCCTGCAAAACTTTGATAGCAGTATTTCTTGTATTTCTGATTATAGACAGGAATTCTAACTCTATTACTTGTAAAATTGTATTTCAAAAGGCATTGAATTATAATATCTCTTTCACTTATCGATGCTAATAGCTTAAAGAAATTTCTGCAATAATAATGATAAGATGCTCATGAAATTACGAACCATATTAATATTAATATTAATATTAAAATTTTTAATATTAAAACAAAGTTTGTGTATCTCTGTGTGTCCATCTTTTTGTAATATTATATGAAATTTAAAAGAGCATTGAAATTTTTATTTCAGGTAATAACTACAAAGCAAATCAAGTTTGAATTCGACATAAGAACTTTTTCTATTTTTTAATACGCTCGCTACTTTATGCGTAGTAAAAAGATTCTGTCGATGAGACGGTGACGAGGAAACTTAAATGCGATGTTTCAAATTGGCGGAAAATTGACGAAAAGCTTTGAATCGAGAAACGTTAAATCGTTTGTATAACAGAGCTTTTCAATTGGTGGTTCAACTTTGCCAATGAAGTTGAAACCCTAGAAGAAGGGCAATCGAGAGCGAATGCTCTAATAAAAATAAAAAAACGTACGCATTTTCCTTCAATTAACTTTATTCTTAATTCATATTTATGCTTGATTTGTCATCTTTTCTGTACAATTGCATTTTGTCTCGCTTGAAATTTCGTATCGTTCAACTGTATCAGATCTCTGAGACACGTTCGTGTATTATTTTCGACTAAACGCAATATTGATTCCAATATATTGGCTTCAAATATATATTTTAAAATATTAACAGATGACGCGTTACATATCCGTTTTGAGAACGATCAGTGTTGAAAATGATAGATACAAGAACAAACGCAACAAACACGTTATATTTACTGAAATGATTTAACAAAGTTTCATTAATCTGAAATGATAAATTTTCAATATTATTGATACATGTTAGCCATATCGAGCATGTAAGTATTCGTTCACATGTAGCATTTTAATTTTCCTCTACATTATCGTATCTCATTCAATGTATTGGCGTAGAAATGTGATCGTGCACTACGTTAAGCCTGCAGATTCCGAAATAGGAACGAAATGACTAATTAACTATCTATATATAAAATAGCAATAGGAGGAATATCCAATATCAGTTGATATTCTAAAACTTACAACCGGCGATAACGATATTAGTATTCCACAGATTGATTTATAGTTTTAGTATAATTCCGTCTGAGCGAAAATTATGATCAGTTGATAGTAATTTATAATACATTTACACTTATTCAAAAGACTAACAACATTAGAGATTCTAACATTAATTATATCTTCTTTATAAATCATAGGTCATTCAGTATCGTCGAAGTTCTGAAACGCTTAATTATTACTTGAGACGAAATATTGAATCGTAAACCTACGATTGACTGAGACTAAGTTGCGACTACACGTTGCAATTAATTCGTCTTCAGTTTTTCAGACGGGAAGATTTGCTTATGTAGGTGAACTGTGAGCTTGGCAATTAGAACAAGCGTGCTTGAAGCGATTAGGAAAGCTACGATCGTCAAGAATCCTATGATGTCCCAGTCGCAATATTGATACGAAGGTTGGAAAATCAGAGTTGAGCGAAGATAAGGCACATTCTTCGTATTTATCGCACGTTCCGTCCACCAAGCGAGATTTTTC